GAAGGGAAAGGAAGGGAAAGGAAGGGAAAGGAAGGGAAAGGAAGGGAAAGGAAGGGAAAGGAAAGGAAAGAAGGGAAGGGAAAGGAAAGAAGGGGAGGGAAAGGAAAGAAGGGGAGGGAAGGGAAAGAAGGGGAGGGAAGGGAAGGGAGGTGGCCATGGGGCTGGAGGGGGGGTGGTCGGGGTGGCACTGACGTGTGGGTCTCCAGGAGCCCCATGGTGACGGGCACGTCGGTGCTGGGCGTCAAGTTTGAGGGTGGCGTCGTCATCGCGGCGGACATGATGGGCTCCTACGGGTCCCTCGCACGCTTCCGCAGCATCTCCCGGCTGCTGAGGGTCAACGACAGCACCGTGCTGGGCGCCTCTGGCGACTACGCCGATTTCCAGTACCTGACGCAGGTCATCAACCAGATGGTGTAAGTCCTGCTGCTTCCAGACACCGCGTCTCGAGTTTGAAGGGACTGGCTGGGATCGTCCAGCTCTTTGTCCTTCATTCACTGCTGGCCTTTGGCCACTTATCTTTCTTGGTGTAAGTTTGCGTTTGAGAAAGGAAGACTGAGAGGGGACCTGATCCAGCTCTGTAAATATTGAGGTGTGGGGGGTGGAGTGGTGAGGCCAGATTCTTTTCAGCAGTGTGTGGGGGACGGGACGAGAGGAAACGGCCAGAAACTGCAGCACAGGAAGTTCTGCGCAAATGTGCACAAGGACTTCTTTAGGTGAGGTGATGGAGCACTGGAACAGGCTGCCCAGGGAGGTGGTGGAGTCGCTTTCTCTGGAGATATCCAAGACCCGCCTGCACACCTACTTGTGCGACCTGCTGAAGGGAACTGCTTTGGCACGGGGTTGGACTCAATGATCTCTGGAGGTCCCTTCCAACCCCTACAATTCTGTGATTCCAGGCAGCCCACAGAGAGTTGGTGTGAGGTTTTCAAGAGAAGCTTGGATGTGGTTTAGTGGTTACAGATGTCTTAATGCTTGAATTTGGGGATAGCGGAGATCTTCTCCAACCCTAATGATACTCAGTGATGATGGATTGGGGCTGCACCTGATGATCTTAGGGGTCTTTTCCAAACTTAATGCTTCTATGATTCTATTCTGTGATCCCTTGTCCTGCTCACAGTATAGCTGGAGGTGGGCTGGGTGCTGGCCTGGTGGCTCCCGGCTCCTCTGAGTTGAGCGATGTTTCTCCCTGCTTTAGCATTGATGAGGAACTGCTGGGAGATGGCCACAGTTACAGCCCCAAAGCCATTCATTCCTGGCTGACCAGAGTCATGTACAACCGGAGGTCCAAGATCAACCCACTGTGGAACACTGTTGTCATTGGAGGGTTCTACAACGGTGAGAGGTGAGGACAAGGGACGTGGGACATTGGGGGTGACCCCACCAGCCCAATTCTGTTGGATGGGAACATCCTTAGAATTTCTCCAAAAAGAGAAAGATGTGGGGTTCCCCTGGCTAGAAATTGTGCTCTGGATGCCCTCCCCTTGTGCAGCAGTGATGCTCACAGCTCTGTCCTTCAGCTTCCTTGGTTACGTGGACATGCTCGGCGTGGCCTACGAAGCCCCAACGCTCGCTACGGGGTACGGCGCGTTCCTGGCTCAGGTTAGTGCTCACAAGTGGGAACATGGAGCACATTGAAGTAGCAACCTTGGTGCTGGGTGACTGTTGAGCTGTTGGGTTTGATGACTTTTTTTCAGCCGTTGATGAGAGAAACCTTGGAGAAGAAGCCCAGCCTGACCAAGGAGGAAGCCCGTGACTTGATTGAGCGCTGCATGAAGATTTTGTACTACAGAGACGCTCGGTCCTTCAACAGAGTGAGTGCTGCATGTTGGCTGCAGAGCTTTGGTCTGTGCTTAATCTCCCATCTCCTCCACAGTGACACCCAGAGCTAAAATCCTGTAGCTTTAAGAATGTTCCTACCATAGTAAGCCAACTCCACTTGTCCACCAAGGAAAAAGACTTGCAGAGCCACATTAAAACAAATGAATCATAAATCATTAAATGTCCCAAGTTGGATGGACGCGTAACGCTTTGGACTCAGTGATCATTATTGGCAATGAATAATGAGATCTTTCGTAGGGCCCATTATGAAGCCAAGTCTGGAGGTGAGGCTTTACTGAAAGCTTCCACTGTTTCTTCTTTTCAGTATGAAGTCGCCATTGTAACAGAGAAAGGAGTGGAGGTGGAGGGACCACTGACCCTGGAGGCCAACTGGGACATTGCACACTTTGTCAGGTAATGGGCGGGTGACACACAACCTGTGTGTGCTGTCAGTCTGACAAAAACCAAGTGGTGTAGGTGCGGGTGGGTGATAGGTGCCCACTGCAGGTCAGCATCTCTACCTTACGCTCCAGTTGAGGTCTCACTGATTCCCTGCTGCAGCCACATCCTCTCTTGGCCAGGGAATGGCTCTGGGCAGCAGAGAGCTTCTCACTGATGGACCTCCTGAGACTTTGCCCCTTTGCACCTCTTCAATACAAAGCTTTGCTCTAATTGTGGTGGTGCGGGCATGGGCCACATCCCCATTGTGTCACACCCTGACCCTATAAACACTCTTGTTGCAGTGGCTTCGAGTGATCTCTGCAGAACTGCTTTGTTGCGTCCGTGCTTCTGGGTGATGTACATCAGAAAACTCCTTTTGAAGTTCCCATTTCTTTTGGAAATGAAATAAACCTGTTAAGATGATCCTCTGTGTTTGTGCCGTGTCCAGAATTGAAGGTTCTGACTCCTCAAAACACGTCTGTGCTGCAGGAAGGAAGCTGAGTCCTTTATTCCTGGAGAAGGGCAGCAAAAATGTCCTTTTATTGTTTGTTTGCTGAATGTTTTCTGGTAGGCGCTGTGCTCCACTAAAGACAATTACAGTCCTCCTCCCCTTGGCAATGCCTTTATCAGACCATCTTGGGTCAAAGTGCTCTTTCACCACCTCCATTTAACACAGTGAGCTCATTTCTGCCAAAGGTGACAAAGCTTTTTCCCCTTCTGTGTTGTAGTAGAAGCTTCTGTGTTGCCAGGTGGCGCTGATGACAGCTGAAGGACTCACCTGTGGGACCTGAGTTGGTTCTGCTCCTGGCTGATGCCTGTTCACTTCCCATGTGCTGAATCTTAAGTGAAATGCACAGTTGCTTCACCATTTGCCCTAATTAAAGAAAAATGTATGGGAACACGAGTTGCTATGGCAGTGGGGTGTTCCAGTAACCCACTTAGTGCAGCTCATGCCATATTCCTCTGGAATTGGGAATTTCTCAGCCCTGGTATCATTTATGAACATTAAGAGTGGTATTACTACCACTGAGTATAAGCAGCTCCAATGGCAAAATTCTGCCTCAACTGTTACTGCCATGTACACACTTCAATTGCTGTCCCACCTCTAAGCAAGGCCGCGTCCGTCCCTAAGGGCAGAGGAATCCACCCAAAGCAGAGCTCTGTGCTCTGCTCCCGTGTCTTCCATGAGGCACTGTGATATCCCAACAGCTGGACAGCTCTCCATAATAAAAACGCGTGTTTATAAATCCATTTCCCTGGTTTTATTAAATGTTCCACGTATGTACATTTTAAAGATGAACCATTTACAGGTCTGCACATGCTGCCTCCTGCTTTCCTTAGGTCATAGGGCAGGTTCACAAAACCTCTATGGAAACAGAAAGGTGCAGGTGCTTCTGAATTCTGTATGTCAAAATGCTTCCGCTTATACCGTAATACATACAATTAAAAAACCCTCAAACATGCAAATTGTAGAAAAATTTAAGCTGGCAGTGAAAAATAAAAACAAACGTCTTCTTTTTGTGCATGTCACAGTTTGTTTCGTTAAATCAGATTTCTAATTCTAAGGAACGTAGTGTCTGATGCCACTGCTTAAAGCACGTTTATTCAACTACTCGTCGTTAATCAACGCTTAATGGTCCATACATTTAACTCCCATCTATAGGGGAAGACCAAGGCAGCCTCGACTTCCCTCTTCCATCTGCACTCTCTCTCGGGGACTCTTTGGAGCGTGGTGGTGCCGGTGGGCTCCCATGGAGGACCCGACCCAACCACGCGGCAGCACCGGGCAGCGCCGGGGCTCCAAGAACCATCGCTGGCATTGAGCAGGCAAAATGCTTCCGCTTGTGTTTGGATCCCGTGTCCCAGCTCACAAGCCAAGGAATTACTCTTTAAAAAGAAAATAAAATTAAAAAAAAAAAAGAAAAAGCAAACCAAACCCAACTCGTAAGGGCCAATTGTAGAAGGTTCACACTTTAAAGCAATCGTTCATACCTAAATTCAGCACAGAAACCTAAAGCTCTGGGTCAAGTGTTAAAAAAAAAAAAAAACAACCTGTGTTAAGACATCCAAAAGGTTTATATACTGGTTCGTCAGCTACATCTGTTCTCCTTTCTTTAGAAATGGTCACATTGACAATGTATAATTCAAAACATTTCTGCACAATAAAAACAGAAAACTATGATACAGTGAGGTAAAGAAAACGCAAAAATATTCACCCACAATATATTTTCAGAAAATACCAACACAGTGATTTTTCTTTAAAAAAGCACAAAACTTATAAATGAACAGCATAAATGGCTATTTATCTGAGTGATCGCCTACAAATTTCCTAAACCCACAAATCCACAGGGAAGTGTAATGGTCTCATCCAACATTTATTGAAAAAACAACCCTTTCCAGATCACCAACTCGCAGATCAGTGCTCAGATTTCCATCAGATCCAAATCGGCGTCTTCGAAGCCGTAAAACGATTCAGTCTCGCTCTCCCCCTCGAAGAGCTGATGGAGGATCTCAGGGTCGGCGCACTCCTCGTTCTGGGGCTGATCCTCACCCTCTGCTGCCTCCTGTGCCAGCTGCTCCTCACCCAACTTCAGCTGCTCCTCCAGCGCTGCGATCAGCTCCTCCTGCATGTCGGCGTTGCGTGTGGCTGAGTTGGCCGTGCCGTCCGGCCCCGGCAGCACGCTGGCCACCAGGAAGGACTGCTGCACAAGTTCGGGAGAGTCACTGATGACCTCCAGCACCTCTGCCAGCCAACACAGAACCAACTGGAGAAGGATGTCCGAATCACATGTGGAGTCCGCCATCTCCTTGGCTTGCTCTTTCCACTTTTTATGCAAGAAATTTTTCACAGTCCTTTTTATACAAACATCCAGGGGTTGGATTTTGGAGCTGCAACCAGCGGGTACGACAGCCGGAAGAGTGCTGGAAGCACTCAGCAGGGACAGTACCTCCTCCGAGAGGTGTGTTCGGTGGCAATCCAGCACCAGCATGCCCTTGCTGTTCTGGCACTCGGTGTGCTTCTGCCACACTCGTGATGCCCACAGCTCCATGACTTCGTCGTCGCTGTAGCCGTTCTCCTTCGCTTCCAGTATGATGGATTCAGGCACGTTGGCGGGCTGCTGGACGTGACCTCTGTAGAAGACCAACGTGGGGAGAACGCTCCCGTCTGCAAGGATGGTGAGGACCACGTCGCACCAGGGCTCGCCAGTCCCCACCGTCTGCAGCGCGTTCTCCTTCTTGTCGTCGCTGCTCAGCACCTCCACGTCGAGGAAGAGGGAGATCTCGTCGATGGCCGCGATCATGGAGAGGGGCAGGTCCTGCGTGTGGATCTGCCGCTGCACAAACTCGATGAAGCAGCCAGCGTTGTCCTCCACCTCTTTGGGGAGCGGGTGGGCCACCGCCCTCCGTGCGTGCATGCTGAGGTTGTGCCGCAGCATGAACCGCACGGCCCATTCGTAGGAGATCTTGAAGCCGCCCTCCAGGGAGCGGCCAAGCTTGGTGGCCTTCTGGAAGAGCGTCTCCTCGTTGACGGGGAGCTGCTGCTCCCGCTGGGTGAGCACCCACTCCGCCAGCTTCTCCTCGGCCTCCAAGCTCAGGTATTTGCCCTCCGACAGCGACGCCAAGTTCTCCTCTTGGAAAGCCTGGAACCTCCTCAGCCAACGCTTGATGCGCCGCTGCGGGTTCCGGAAGTGCTCGGCTGCCTGCTCAGTGCTGCAGCACAATGCAAACAGAACCACCCGCAGCTTCTTCACAGACAGCTGCTCCTTTTTGCTTGCAGTTTCGGTCTCCTTCATTGGCTGCTCGTCTTCCTGAGCATCAATGTTTAAGCACTCTTCCTCCTGGCAAAGCAGGGGCCGGGTGTGGGCTGCCAGTGCCACTTCAGGTTCCAGGTCATCCTTCGCAGGTAACACAGATTTAGTTTTCACAGTAGCAGCTTTACTGGGGGAGTAGGCAGGGCACATGTTTTTCATGCTTCTGTCCTGGGGCTGGATGTGCCTTGAAGGGAGAGAACACAGTGCCTTCTTAAAACCAAGGAAATAAAAGCGCAGGGGGAAATCAAGCAACCAACCTCCAGACTGCAACAGATGATAGGAGAGTACACAAAGAGTTTACCTGGAATGTGATATCCAAGTAGGCCCTGCAGAAAAAGACAAAGACGGTTGTGGCTTTGCAAATAAGCAAGAAGTCAGTGCAAACACAGAGTACTCTTACAGAGATAAGGCTCAGGCATCCCCTCTGCTGCAAGATGCTCATTCAACCCCCTCCCTTCCCCAGGAGGTCTTGCACCCACATCCAAACCAATGAGAACTACCCGGTAGCAGCACCAAAACCCCACCAAAACCCAAATCCATCAGGAATAACACCAGGAGTTTGGTTAGGAAAGCTCAACCTCAGCCAGATCGCTGTAGGCAATGACCTTCTGTTTTGCAAATTGCACTAATGGCAACAAATGGTTGGAACAGCAGCTCTGGGCCCTATTCAAAGCCCAACATCAGCAGCTGCTCCAGGCCTCTTGGTGTCACAAAGGTACAATGATGTCTCAGAGGAACAGAGCAGCTCGCTGAAGCCCTCTGCATTGTTCCTTCCTGGGAATATCTCCTGAGATCTAAGATGTACAGCTGAGCTCAGGCTGACAGCCTCACTGGAGGCTTAGCTCTCATCTCCATAACAATTGTGACAATTCAGCAACTACAGAAGGTCCCCAAGCTGCATTTTACTGATGCTCAGCAGTCAGTGAGTGCTTGGCCAAAGGGCTGTGTTCGAGTTGGGCTCCAGGAACTCATGGATTATGTCTTTCATTAATTATTTCAATTTTTCTGCTCCTTTTCCAAACTCCTACCTCGGAAAATAATGTTGCTGAACTCGTGCGATGGGTTGAAGACCAAATGCTTGGCCATCACATCACCCTCCGACGACGCAAAGAGGCAGGAAGAGCAGCACAGCTTCACACCACTGTACAACAAGAAGAAAGCGAGCTTTGTATCAGTGTTAGATATTAGAAGAGGTGGATGCCCATACCAGGGAAAAAACGTCACCCTTGAGTGCTGCAGTGCCCCCTCCCTAAGGCACTGACCTCCCTCTGGAAGGCAGCAGTGGTTGCCTTCATTTGATCTATGTTGCTGCATTGCAAATATTAAGCAGTGCTTCTTAAGAAGCAGATGTGAAAGTAAAGAACACAACAGATCAGGAAATGAATGCACACCGGATCCCCGGGTGATTAAAGTGAGATGACAAGTCTTCCCTTACCAGGCAGTGTAGTTCTTGAACAAAGCCAAGTATTTGGGACTCTTCCGGGGAACGTGGTTGCTGTATGACAAAAGGGTTAATGAAATGTCAGAATTATTCCAGATATCTGAAGGGTTATAGAGCCATATGAAATCTGGCATGTTTACAAAGACAGATCCAACCCTGGTTTCAATCATCCTATTTTATCTTGTATTTAAAGAAACAAAAATCCTGGTCTGCGGTCTAACAAAGCTCCTGTACAGGCTTCTAAAACCATGGCATAACTTCTTTTCATTTACTTTTTAATTGTATTTTTAATGTGAATATGAGACTTTAGCAAGAAATCCTAGAAGCACAGAACAATGAGCTTGCAGTACGCATGCTGTTAGCTACAGCACTGCGTGGGGAATGAATCCTTCAGCTTTCACACTCAGTTTTCCCATCTTATCCCAAAGCCCACATCTGTGCAGACAGCGAATGCACACCTTACAGACCAGGCACTGGATTGGAATTTCGTGGAACCCCTTTTGCGGGATGCCACGACATTCAGCCAGGAGGGGTTTCTGTGCCATCACACCTACTTGATCATGTGGTTGGCGTAGGCTCGGGAGCAGCACGTGCTGTAGCGGCACAGCGAGCAGTGGACGTAGGTGGGGAAGTGGTTTGGGAAGTCGGGGATCTCAAAGCTGCACTCCAGGCAGGTCTGCCTGCCCAGGACGCTCCTGAAAAGAGAGGAATGTGGCCATCAGTGGGGAAAGGCATCTGCAGCTACAACCGCCATCAGGACACGCATTTAAGGACACACGACAGCTTCCTGAAGTTAAACTGGTCTCATCCTGCACCAAAGCTTTTCAGGGTGCCTCAGTGCCAGGCTCAATGCCTCCCACATTGTAATGGAGTGGTTAATAAATGAAAATAAATGAAGACAAAGTGGAATGGCACAGGGTGGGCAGAAAGCCCTTATGGTGATGGAATCTCATTGTTTCTGTAAAATTGCCAACCTAATTAATCATCAAAGAATCATCACAGAATGGCTTAGATTGGAGAAGCCCTCAAAGATCATCAGTTCTAACAGCCTTGCCATGTGCAACCCCCTGCCATGGGGAATTCTGCATTTCAGTTTCATCTGAAGAGCTTTCATAACATGTTTTAACGCTGTTTTGTGGGAAGCTAGATTCTCCTGGCATAATATTTCCTTGGCAACCAGTGAGACACAGACCAGCCACCGCTGCAGCATAACAAGAGCCACTACACTGCTCTGAAAATCTTTATAATTTGAAATTGAGCAATGAATCTGACATTTTTTTGACGGCTCTCTTCTGGACGCTCCTCTGGACGGGTGGGTACAGGAAGATGGGCTGAGGGTCAGCAGAGGAGAGCGGTGCAGTGTCCTGCCCAGCACTCTGCCCCATATCGTTCGAAGAGATCGGCACCGTCCGGGGCTGTCCTCGGGATGCTCTGATTGTCACCTGCATAGAACAGAGCACTCTTACAACACAAAGGCAGAAGTGAGCTATCCCAGTTCAGACTCCTGTTAAGAGTACTTTGGGGTTCTTAAGAGAATAAACAGGGGCTCTACAACACAACTTTTTCCACCCAGAGCAGGACACGAGGCTTGAGCCTCTGCACCGAACAGAAGGCATCCAGTCAACAAGTAGAGGCACCGTCAATTGTAGATGCCTTAGCTGGGCCAGCAAATGTGATGTACAGATCAGATGAGGCAAACATCTCTTCTGCCCTCACCCATAAAAACACTACGGATGTTTCCCAGGGAACCAGGATTGACACTGGGGTTTCCCTACCTTGGTTCCAGGCTTCAATCCTTCCAACTGTTTGGGCTTTCGGAACGTTTTGTGATGCTGCAGCTTGTGTTCAATTTTATCCTTGGCAAACAAGAATTGGAGTCTGCACTTGTTGCAATGATAAACACTCTTCTTCTAAAGCAAATGCAAACAAAACACATTCCGTGTCAGAGAAATGGGACCCACAGCACAGCAGGTTGTTTTGGTTTTTAAAAAAGAGAAGAAAAGTAACACTATTCCCTCCTATAACCAAAGCTGGTCCCAATTTTTGAGAGCCTGAAATGGCTACTGGCACAGCACTTCCTTCCCATTGACGCCATCTCACTATTTTTGCATATTTTTTAATTAAAAAAGCAATACTTGACTTAGGGGGAAACATTCCTTCCAAGCTTGCCTTGCCTTTGCCTCTTCCAGAAACCAATGGAGGGCACTGGGGCAAATAAATGCAGGTACTTGGTAAGCAGACCACACTTCTGTATTCTGCAAGCATGCTCCAGCTACACCCGCATCAAATATGTTGTCAATACTGCCAGCATACATGGAAACAGAACGCTCAGCTACCAGGACGATTTGCATTTGCATGTGTACAACATTATTTATTTATTACCTGAAGAAAAAAAAATATTAAATCCCCAATGAACACAGAGCTGTTGGTTAAGCACACACACAGCCCAGCAAAAACGTATTTCTTTCTGCTCTGTAGCAACAATTTGTGCTGCTCCTAAAGGAGCAGTGCTTCTTCTCTGCAGCACAACCCCTGTGAAACATCCAGAATGACAGCGTGCAAATTGCATTTGTTACAGAGTGAATACAGCTTCTACCAAAACCCCTCTTTCAAACAGCTTTTCTCTCCTCTCTTCTCTTTTCTCCTTTCCTCTCCTCTTTTCCTCTCTCTCCTCTCCTCTTTTATTTAAACCCCCAACCCAATACCTCCTCCCAGGCTCATTACAAACTGCAGACAGACAACAAGGACAGACACAGTACCTGGTGCCTCATGAAGTGCTGCTGGAAGGCGTTGCCATTCTTGAAGACCTTCAGGCAGTATGGGCAGAGCAGGTGCCGCGTGTCCTCGTGGATCATTCGGAAGTGGCTGTCCACCTCCGAGTACAGCGACGAGCGGTACTGACACACCTGCAGGGGTGGGCAGAAACAGTGCTGAAATAACCTCAGAATCCAGCTCACCTCCACCACTGCAGTACAGAGATCCCATTGGCACCGTGCAGATCCCCAAAGACAATCAGTGGGGTTTTGGAACCAGGTCCTAAAGAACTTGCTGGCTCATTTCTTTAAGTGAGGCACTGAAGTGGGCAGAGTAGCTTGGAGAAACAGACTGAAACCTCTCACAAAAGAAAGGAGTCACAATTTCGAACTCCAGACCCATGAGAAAAAGGAAGAGACAGTCAACGCAACACAGTTGGACTGTACTAAAAATCGTTTTTTCAGGGCCTTTCTTTTTGGAGAGACAGTGCTGGGCTCTTGGGTGGAGATGTTATGTTCAGAATCCAGCACAAACCTCCTGACAACAAAAGGTGTCACATAACCTCATCTCCACCAGAATGACACCTTCTCTTCATGGCACAATAGCTTTTAGTACCTGGCAAACATAGGGCATTTCCCCCGGCTTGTGCGTGTCCTTCATGTGTTGCAGGAACATTGGTTCGCTCTCAAATGCCCATTCACAAATCTTGCACTTTGCTGCAAAAGAAAAAAGAAAAGAAAAAGCAGCTAACAGCTGGAGGACAACAAGGACAACAAGGTAAAACACACCACCACGTTATACGAAGTTCATTTGAACAAATTCCTTAAAAAAATCATTACTGCTCCTTGTTTTTATTAAGGAACTAATCTTAACAGGTTGGCTATTAGCCTAAGACAAAAACCCTCTCAAACCCAGAACTACAGCAGCAAAACCAGCTTACTTGTTGACTCATAGGGACTGTGGACGTTCTCTAAGTGGCACTGGAGCTGAAACGGAGTGGAGAACTGCCTGTAGCAGTGCTGGCAGATGGTGTGCACGTCCACCTCTCCGTTCTGCTGGTCCAGTTCCACGTGGTGCTTCATGTGGTTCATAAATCTTATGAACAGAAAGGGTGTGAGCAGAAATCCACACATTTTGCACCTGTAGTCCTGGCAGCACTAGGAATGCTACACCAGGAGTTTTTTTTTAACCCATTTTATCATTACTTTTAAGGGCCCAAAAGATTGAATGATAAAACCAAAGTCACTTTGACCCAAAAGAGCACTGAGGTGGTTCCTTCTCACTCTTCCCAACAACAGCACAAAATCCCCTATCCAGCAACCCCCTGTTCTGTAACTCCAGAAGTTACAGAGGAGATGTTGTAGTACAGAACTTCAGAGCACTTCTGACCCCAACCACTATTCTTCTCTTCCATTCTTCTCCTCCAGCTTTCCGTTCTCCTTATCCATTCTATCTTTCCCTGACCCAATGTGTGAGGACAGACGAATCGCCTCACTTTTGTGTTTCAGCTCTAAGCACACCCACACAATGGGACACCTGGGAGATGGCTGCTCCCACCTCATTTTCAATCCTGCAGATCTGAAGCACCCAGAACACTGCAGCCTTCTTGTGGCACACTGCATCCCTTACCGTATGTTGTTCTTTAGCCTCTTGGTGCAGTGTGGACACCGGAACGAAGTCGGAACCTTGGGGAAGTTCAGCAGCTGGCTCACTTTGCCACCATCTCTTCCATAGTAGAAGTCATCCACCAACATGATGAGCTTACTTTGGGACGAGTCAACCACGCCTTCACTTGGCTCTGGAGCTTTAGCAGGTGGGGACAGTGCAGGTATAGGAGTAGAAGAGGGTGGGGAAGCAACAGCTGTGGTTTTTTCTGGAGATGGAGGCTTTGCAGATTGGATATTTGGTTCAGAATCGAGAGATTTTCTTTTCTTGAGGAATTCGACCATTTCAGGGCAGCAATACTAAAAGACAAAAAAAGAGAAAAAAAGGCCACACGTTCAGAAGTATCCAGGAAGAACTACTGATGTTATTAAGAGCAAACAAGCAAAGGCTAACCAGGACTAAAAGGAGGCAGGTGCACTCCGGGAAACTGAAGGAAAAAACTAATGCAGATTTAACATTTAGATCTCTGCTTACTGTCAGTAGGATTGAAAAACAATCCTGGCACCAGCAGGACATCCAGCTGAGGTCCCGACATCCTGAGGGATGCTGTGGAGTTCTACAAAGGCTCTCCTTTGCTATTTTCTTCCCTTTCACACAACCCCTGATCCAGGGAGAACTGTTCATCCCAGAGTGGTTACTTACACACATATGTCCTCTTAAAGCTTCGGTGACTCGGAACTGAGCATCGCACCGTGGGCAGACCTTCCTGCCACCATCTTGCAAATCAAAGGTAGGAATTGGAGATGAACTGACTGTAACAGGAGGGAGAAAAGCACCACAACATAAAACAAAGAGAAAATCGTTATGTCTCAGGTCCAGGATGCAAACTCCCCACAGTCTGGATGCTGAAACACACCCTCATATCTTTAATATGGAGTATCTCAACAATGCACTAATTAAAAATAAAAAGCTCAACTATTCTTTCCTTCTTTGGCCATTTCATGTTTCCCATCCTTCAGTTTAAAACCCCATACCTCTTCATCAGCTTCACCCCTACCTGTACACCGAAACTCAGTACAGATGACACAAAATGTGCCTTAAAAGAACTACAGGACTCTGAGACTCTTTAAGGAGGTGATGGAACAGAAGCCAGGATTTGATTCTTTCCCCTCTTCATGCAGACTACTATGCGTGTGTGTGTTTTCAAGATGCACATCAATAATTTTGAATGCGAAATAATGTATGCAAGCAATATCCACAAACATAGTAGAAATACAGCCACTGGGTAAAAAGTAATGTACAGATGACAAAGATGCACAAATTAATGGGAAAGCTTTTCAAGTGCCCATGCAAACGATGAGATCTCAGCAGTTGCATCACCACACCTTTCAACGACGACGATGACGACGACGACTCCGACACACTGGATCTCTGGGAGCCGTGCACAGGGCTGCTGTTGGACACCACCATCGGGCCAGGGCTCTGCCCCAATGAGGGAACAGTGTTCAGGGTGTTCACCAGCTTGGCAACCTCGTTGCTGTTCTCACCAGTCACTCCGGGTTTCTTTACAGTCACAAAGCTCGCAATGCTCACTGCCAAAGGGAGGATAACAGAGGAGCATTAATAAGAATTGGTAAGAGCTGATGCACTGGGTGAAGCCTGCCCCCACTAGCATGTCTCGTGTCTTGCTCTTCTACCTTTCATCTTCTACCAGCCATTAATTCTGTCCAGCAAAGTAAAGGGGAAAGACTGAGCAAGTAAATTTCCCTTTCAGATCGTGCTCTAAGACATGAGCCATTCCCTAGTGGGAACTAGGACTAGTGGATTAAACGAGATACTGATGGTCACAAAAATCACTTGTATTTCTTTTCTACGTGTAGCCGTATGCAATTAAGGCCACTTAAGGTAAAATCAAAGTGATGACTTGCTGCATGAAGAAATACATAGTTTTTTAAGTTGTCTGTCACTATTTTTGAGCAATCATATCACTCACAAAACTCAGCATTAAAAAAAAAAAAAAGCCCTGTGTCTAGTTTCTGATTGTTATCTGCTCCTTATCTTTCAAAATCACAACTAATTAACAAACAGTAATTTTCACTTTTGGGGACTTCTAACTGATGGTCTCAGAACATGCTACAAAACATGAAGTCTAAGGGATTCTCAAAGCAAACTGGGCACTACAACACAACGCTTGTCGTCTTCCTGGCTGGTAAGGAGATGAAGCATGAGTCAGTGCCCAAAGCAAAAATAGAACCCAGGAGCTCTGACTCAACTTCTGCGTTTCAGCTCTAAGCTGTATGTTTGAAAAAGCAAATTACAGACAGCGTTACGAGTCCCCTTGCTTCTCCAAGTCTTACCTAATTTGGGGTTAGTAGCTTGACTGGACTGCCCTGGCTGCTGCACAGTTAACTGTCCCAGAGGTGTTGGCTGCGTTGCAGTAGGAGTTGTGGAGGTGCTGGGAGTGGACTTACTTTGCTGTTGTGACTGGGACTGCGGCACTGTGCTCCTGATGGTGAGCGTGGCCGGAATGACCGTAGTGAAAGTGTTGGTGGTGGGTCGGACCGGCATGGTCGTACCTGGTCTCACCTGGGCCACCTGGGAGAACACCTGAGGAACGCCAACTGCTGGTTTGACAAACTGCGTACCTGGGGCTTCAAACAGAAACGAATAAAGGGAGGTCAAATAAATGAATTCCGTCCCTTGTCCACAGTAAGATCTGCTTTCTAACACTGCCAAGCTCCCAAAATTCCCACTCATTTCAGTGAAACTTGTTTACAAGTTCAGCACCTAAACTTTGTTTGCCAAACAGCCTGAAATTGAACACGAATCACAGAATCATAGAATCATAACGGCTGGAAAAGACCTCCAACACCAACGAGTCCAATCCCAACCCATCTCCTCTAAACCACGTCCCCACACACCACATCTCTCAAGACTGTGTTTGTGATTTTGGAAGAACTTATGGAGTTCTGCAAGGCAGACATTCCTTCCACTTGGAAGACCCCTAAATACCAAGTGGTTTATTACTATTGCCAAAGGGTCCACTTTCAGCTGGACACAACTGGCAGAATTGGAGCCATTAATACACACATTTCATCAACTACAGAACTGGAAAATCCCCTTCTCTAGAGCTCCAAGGTTTGTATTTCAGCTGCATATTTCAAATATTTGTCCTTGGTACTCAGTAAAGAAAGATGACAGAAGCATGGCTTGGATGTGTTTCAGTCCTTACCTGGGACGAGGGTGATGGGTCTGACTGTCTGACCCTGCTGTACATTCAGAACGATTCCCACTTGATTCATGGTGTTTTGCACAGGCCGCACGTTCCGCACAGGAAATCCCTGCATTCAAACAGTAATCACTAACATACCAAAAACACACCAAGCACATTCAATTTGAGGTTTCTACCCTACAAAAACAACCAAACAAAAATAATCAAAACCACAAATGAAACAAAAAAACCCACCAATCTAAAGAGCACCTCCCAGCACTATCATCTATGGGATCAACTGAATCAAGGCCATTCTGTTTGTAGGCAGCACCTTACCCAACAGCAGGGCCACCTTCTTACTGATTTACAGCCTCTACTCTGACCTCTCCTTCCCTAAGCACCTACTGAAGTCTTCTCCCAGCTCTTAAACAATTTGAAAAGCTGTACTTGCAGCAGTAGTTTTTTTCCTGAGATAGGTAAATTCTCTGCTTTGTTGAATCACAGAATCATTTGACTTGGAAGAGACCCTTAGTCCAGCTCCTCTGGCAATGAACAGGGCACCCACAGCTCCATCAGACACTCAGCCTGGTAGAGCCCAACCTTGAATGTCCTTGTTGGCTGAAATCTGTAAGGATTAGTACATCAGACCTTCCTTCCCAGCCTGCACGTAGGAGTGGGGATGTGAGGGACCCACCTGGGTGGTGATGAAGATGGGCTGGCTGGTCACTGGAGAGTTCGTGACGTGGTTGGCATTCTGCATGATCTGCACGGGTCGTAACACTGGCTGGGTCACCATGGTGCCCAGACCCGAGGTTGGGTTCTGGGTGAGGATCAGGGGCTGCCCACCTTGCTGAACAAGAGGGTTGCCGGCTGGAAGAGAAACAGAGATAGAGTAAAAGTTGTATTTGTCAATGAAAAAAGCTTCTGCAGAACTGAAATGACTTTTTCAGAGCACACTTTAAAAGTAAACTTGTGAAACTATCAGACTCTTCTATCTATTGCTTTAAAACTCCCATTTGAGCAGGGTTTTCTGAGTTGCCTAAGAACAAGGTGATCAAAACTCTTCGCTCCGAGCAACCTCAGAGATTGATTATCCTGGCTCCTGCATGCCCTTTGAACACAACCACAGCAGCTAAAGAAAATATTTTTTTTAGTCTCATTAACTATTAAGCACAAATTCACCTGCTGGCAGATACTGGGAAAATTTATGCTCAACCACTCACTCCAGCCCCTGGTGCAATGCTGTGCAAGTTTGTGAAGAGCATTGCCAATCACAGGCAGCTCAGTGCCAATTAACCAGAACCAGAAGGACACGCGAGTTCTGAACCACCTAAAGCCATTTCCAACATCCTCTGACTTGGAGAGGACTACAGCACTGAATTTTCATGAAGCACCAGACATGCTTCAACACAAGAATTACAGAACAAGTGAAAACATCTGGCTCCCACTGAAATCGTAATACGTGGGCTGTGTCATAAGAACATCTCAGAATGGTTTAAGTGCTTTTTCTCTTAATTTGAGCACCATGCTCTGATTGAAACTCAACTCTGAACATGTCCACCACTAGAGCTACCCAACACTCCCCATTACCTACAGCCAAAAAGCATCCCATAGCTCTCTGAACTGCCAGCTGTTTGCATCAAGCTTCCCATGAATAATCTGCCACAATTATTTTCCATGATGAGCAACCATAGAACCATGGAATGTCTTGAGTTGAAGGGCCCTCCAAGATCACAGAGTGAAAAACAAACCCATGCTTCTTCTGATACCATTCTCATAACATTTTCATCACAAGTCCCAGAATGTCTGCACGTTCACCCAAGGAACTCTGTGGCCCACGACCACCCTAAAGAAAATCCATAGAGTTGGGTCCCTCTGTTTCCAGCAGCTCATTATTGTTGGCCGCATCCTCCAGCCAAGATCCCATTTGTTCCACAGGCTCTCACTTGCCAACCAGAACAATATTTGCACAGAATGAGGAAATCCAAAGCCTGGAATATGGCCCATTTACTTCTGGGGGCACTAAATGTGGCACCAAAGAAACAGTTGGGAGGATCTCTTGTTTATTGGCAGTGCTCACTGACAACTGAGCACTGGGGAAGCGATGAAAAGGAAGGGAAGAGAGGATGAAGAAGGACATATGCTAGGGAAAGGAGGCAAAATGGTCTACAGACACCAAAGCACCTGTCCAGAAAACCAAAGAACAACACAATCATAGAATACCCCAAACTGGAAGACCAGTGAGGCCAACTCCTGGCCCCACAAAGCACTACCCAAACATCAGAGCTCACACACAGCAAGAGATCTGCATAGATAAAACACAACACATTTTCTAAAAACAACAATAATAATAATAAAAAAGATTTAAAAATTCAGGCCATGATTATTTTGAATAACCCGGAAAATGAGCACAATACTTAATAGGGCTTCAGCTCCTTCTTCCTCTGCACCATTCTACCTCTTGGCATAAAACTTTTTCATGTATTCATGTTTACCCAACTCAAACCATAGTGAGGAACATCAAAAGGGATTCTTATAGAGGAATAATAACGTGTCTAGGTTTTAAAAGTGTATGATATATTATTTTTCAAAGACCATTACTACCATAATCCATGTCTTGATGGCGAAGGGCTTCCAAACTGAAAGGGAGAAACCACACAGGAATCTTCCCACTGTGGATTTCATAGAATCAGAGCATAGTTGGATGAAGGACCTTAAAGATCATAGAACCATGGGATCACAGCACAATCTGGGCTGAAAGGGACCCTAAAGATCACAGAACCAAAGAACAACAGTATGGTTGGAACAGAAGGCTCCTCACACCCCCAGTTCCACCCCTGCCATGGTCTGGCTGCCCCCCACGTGCTCAGGCTGCCCAGGATCCCATCCATGGCTTTGGGCACTACCAAGGATGGGGCACCCACTGCTCTGGGCAGCTGTGCCAAAGAACTGCCAGCATTATTCAGCACTTACGAGACTGAAAGAACATCCAGATTGTTTCAAAGACACAAAATGGTTCAACATTACTGAAACTGCTGATGTTAAAAGAGAATGTTTCCTATGCAAATGTGGAAAAGACCTGCTGTGTGCCAAAACATTCTGACCCACAGCCAAAACAGCTTCTTTTAAATGAAGATGCTCTGCACTGACAGTCTGGATGCTGCCTGACTGGCACTCCTCAGCGTATGGGATCCAAACACTTCCATGAAGATTACACCATGCAGAAGCCTATCCTTCACCATTTGCTTCTTTACAACAAGCACTAACCCAATGCTGTTATCTGAGCTCCAGGGTCCAAGTGAAAAGGATGATGTGATTCCAGCATTCACTGTTTTTGTAAGGAAAGGTCTCGGAGGAGGGATGGAGAGGAGGGAATTGAAACCAGAGATGCACAGTGGGTTTGGCAGCCTTTGTAATCCCTTCACAGCGCTCCTGAGAATCATTTGGGAAGACTTACACTCATTTAACAAAAGATGGCTTTGGGTTTCAGTCAATTTAAAGCAGAGAGTTGTTGACAAGGATGCTCTGATCAAGTCAGTTTGGTGATTTGGACCCCTTTCTCTGAGTATGGACCTGCCACGTTGTTCTCTCCAGAAATGCTGCCCTTTATCAGGCAGCACAACAGCAGAAGTAAATACAAACACTCCAGTTCCTTTACAGAATTCCTTTTATTGTGGCCAGGAAGGACGCAGCTGTATGCCCAATCTTCTGCAGGCTCTCATTAATAAGAACGACAAATCTTGTGGAGCAGCACATCCGAGAGCATCAGTGCTCCTCTTAGATTGCTTCCACTGAGATCCACGAGGTTTCCACAGGTCCTGGAACATCTGAAGCTCACAGGTGTGCACAGATTCACTACTTCACCTCAGGGGAATGAGGAGATCGCAGCAGAAATCAGCTGAGGAAGAACAAGTTACATTCTTCTCTTTCTCCTCCAGCCTCTCATGTATTCAATCCTCCAGGCAGCTCCCTGGGAATGGTTTATTTTGCTCCTTTAAGGAGAGCTGATGGAACAAGCTTCTGATTGAAGCAAGCTTCAATACCTCTTGAGCTCCAGCAGCTCAGGTTTATCCCACAGCCCTCTGGGGCACAACCTTTCCCTGATACCCAACTTCACAGCAGCACAACCTCCCTTGAGAAGGACACCAGTGCCAACCAATAAAGCCTTCTCAGAACCACCCAGGTGTGAGACTGGGGCTGCAGTGCAGCACCCACCAGGCCAAGGCTCCTGCTGGTAACACAGTGAGGATGCAGACTGTGATTAAACCAGATGAAGGTTCTTTGTTTCCCATCTAACCTGACTTAACCTCAAACTGCCCCGCATTCACCGCATGGTCCATGGAAGCACAGTGTTTCCTTCTATCATTTCTGTATCTCCAGGATCAAAAGCACTTTGTGATTCCTGCAAAAGGAATTGCAGGAATGTAAGTTGTATTTTTATCTGATGGTGGAATTATTAAAAAGGAGTCATGCTGTCAGGGGGACATGCAGCAGGGCTCCCATCTCATTTTCTTGTCAACAACATTGCTTTTCTGGATACTGGGACACTGTAACAACAGAGAGACACACACCAGTGAGCTGTGCACATATACAGAACATAACAAACTGGTTCGAGTGGGAAAAGGTACAGCTAACAGCACACAGTGGAAACTAAGAAAAGAAAAAATTAGGCCGAACGTCACTTCAAATATATTTAGCTTTCACTGTTTTTTTCCTTTTATGTCCCAGTAATTTGAGACATTTTAAAACTAATCTGCAGGGAAAAAATCTGAAGATGAAATTCAGGAAGATGGAAAAAGATTAGCTAAAGAGAATTCTGCCTTCAGTGAGGAAATCTTCTTTCTTGACTTTTGGACATGGGGTCATTCCCATCCATCCCACTGCCCTGATCACCCAGAAGAGCTGGTGGTCTGATACAGAGCCATTAAGGTTGAGAAAGACCTCTAGGATCACCAAGTCCAGCAGTCATGGACTTACCATGCCCACTTAGAGAACTGTTAAGGTTGGAAAAGACCTCTGAGATCCCCAAGTACGACCCCAACCCATCTCACCACGTCCACTAACCATGCTCCCAATCCAATCTTGGATATCAACAGGGACGGCGACTCTACCTCCCTGTTCCAATGCATCACCACTTTTGGAGAGAAAAAGTATTTCCCAATATCCTACCTGAACCTCTGCACTGTTAAGCAATACAACACACTGCAGGAGAAATTTGGGTGCGTGTTTGTCACCGTATGGTCAGTCAGTTTGGGAGTTAGATATTTACCAAGGAGGATGCTGTGGTTTAAGAAAGCAATAAATGTTAGGGCTCCAGGCTGGCTCACAGTGATTTACATCCTAGAGGGGAAAAGCAAAACAAAGCCTAACAAAACCTTACACTGAGAGAATGGGTAGATTTAATGGGCCTTTTTCAGCCCTAGCTTGTAAGTCTTCTTAATTAACGTAAAACAAAATGCAAGATGACAGCCATGAGCATAAAAAAACCAGATTGCCCAAAGCTGGGACAGCTCAGACACAGCCCACGGGTCCGCAGTCAAAGTGAGGCTGTGGGGGATGTGACCCCTGGTTACTGGGCCAGCATGGGCTGCAGAGGGAACTGATGTCCCCGTGGCACTTTGCCATCCCAAATCCTCAGTGGCAGAAAGCCAACAAGGATTCCCTGCAGGACAGGAGATGGCAGCAGCTCAGTGAACAACGGAGCTCTGGAAAGAAAAAGCCACATTGCAGGCTGAAGAGTTGTGTTTGTTTTGGTCCCAAGTCCAACCATCAACCCATCACCACCATACTCACAGTATCATTAATGATTGAGAAGACCTCTAGGATCAGTCCAGCCTTCAACTCATCCCCATCAAGCCCACCCAATCCTAGAATCATTAAGGCTGAAAAAGACCCCCAAGACTTCCACGTCCAACCATCAGCCCATCACCACTCACAGGATCTGTCCTCTGCTGCATGGATGCCATCAAAAAGAGGATTAATTCCACCATTAAGCTGAAGTGCTCCACAAAAATTCACAACCAAGTGTGTTTCCCTGCTTTCCCTTGCAGAATCTCAGTGTCTATCACCAAACCAAGGGCAAAGCTCTGTGTGTCCCTGTGTGTTTTCACACAGCCTATCAGCACCACATTCCTCCTGCCCAGTCTGCAGCAGATAAGAACAACACAGACCCAACCCACAGCACCAACCTCACCTTGAGACAAACGGCTCCATAATGCAGACTATTTTGTCTCAACAACACAACCAGAGCTGGCCCAGCTCTGCAGCCTCAAATTCTGTGCATCTGGAAAGCAATGCTGCCTCAGGGCTGCAAAGGTCACTGCCTTCCCCTCCTCTCTTCTGAAGCAAACCAGTGCACACCTCTGAGGTCTTCAGGCATTTCCAGTTGCATTCCTGTCCATGTCCATTTAATGGATTAAAGGTGTTACTTCTCCAACTATTTCTGACTGCAACCCAGAATACAATTATCAATAAGATGAACAGAAAATAGCCTGTGATTCCACTCCTCCAGCACAGAGTAGGGTGATAAATTACAGCATGGTTGGATTGAAAGGGACCTTAAAGATCACAAACCACGCAGTCATCGTCAGTCAGTGCACAGCAAGGGATGGAGGAAGGAAGATGGAAACACCACCACTTGTTTTCCTCTCCCACCCTCCCTCACTACAGATCCAAGGTAGATGCTGGAATTCCAAATTGGCTTCCTAAGCCAAGAGCTTATTGTGACTCTTTTGAAACAACAAAAAATAAGGGAAAAAAGAAAAATTCTTAAGATTTCTGCGATTCTGCCTAATCCTTCTGAATCTAAGAGGTGCAGGAATCCAATCTGGATGGTTTTTGTCACGAATTCCACCAGTTTTACAGGATCCAGGAGTCATTTGGATAGCAGATCCTGTGGATAGCTGATTCCATCAACAAGATCCTTAAACTTTATTAGAGTTACTCAAATATTTTATTGATAAACAAAATATCTGCTAATTATGTATTTTAGTAGCCGTGCACAGTTTTTCCTCTTTTTTTAAGCAATAATCTAACTGGCACACTGATATCACCAAGTCTTCATTAATTGTAATTGATTTAAACACCTGTCTCCATTTACTTCTATTAGTAAAGCTATGAAATATTAATCACCAGTGCATTACGTGGTGACACCTCGTGCATTTGCAGTGCCAGATACTTTGAAGACATTTCCAAGAGGGGCTCTATGCACTATTTGAAACTGATGCGGTTCTCATTACTTGTGTCTGATCAAATTTTACTAAAAATGATGTGGTGACTTTTAAGTGAGGCTGACAAGCAGATTTATACAGCTCCTTAATCCCAAAGGAACTTAAAGACACTTTCGATCTCAGCTCTAAGTTATGCACAGAGATTGTTTAAGCTGCCTCTGAACTGAAGCCACAGAATCCTTTCATAACAAGAAGAAATGGAATTATTCACCTTGGAATTTGGTCAGCACAGCAGTTAGAACACATTACTCGTGCAAAACACATCTCGGTGCAGCATGGTGACCATGAGCAGTCATGGTCTTTAATTCTTATCTTGCCTTTCTCTTTACAAACATCCTCCTACCTTACCAGCTCCAAACACCCTTTGTCAAAGCAAGCTCCTCATAGACCCTTCCCTGTATGAAGACCAGAAGCAGGAGCTGACAGCAGTCAGCAAACCCTCCCTAAGCTCACCTCCAATTATCAGCTCCAATTAGCAGCCAGCTCTCCAAAGCCCCAGGTGCCAAATACTTCCACAAACACAATAAGTCAGCAGCCAAATGTTAACAACACCAACTACCAGGAATGCTTCCATGGCACTGCACACCTGGATCACTGTAGGACCACGAGACACGTGGAACCCCAGGCCTACAATAAGCTGGCCCCATCTCTTCTTCTAGATATTAAGCTGATGCTTGCTTGACCTCAACTAAAAGAGCAAGAAAAAGTAATTCAAAGGGCTAAATAACTTATTACACGGACCAGTCAACTTCACCCATGCACATCACTAGGGTAAGTATTCTTTTCACCATGCACCAGGCTCAAGTATTTGGGAAGAACCAAAGGGACAGTAAAGATGATGTTTTTTCTAGTGACAGTCATGCTTTAATTCCTAAATTGTAAAATGTTAATTGTTGAGTTTTAATTTGTATAAAATAGGTGCAATAGCCCAACTCAAGGCATTGATAGCAACAGCAATCCGACAGCACTGCTCTCACACCTTTACTCAGAGCTCCTTTACAAACAGAGTTATCTTCTGGAAAACAAAGCCTCCAACCCCCCAATTACTGCTCTGTACGTCTGACACAGCCAACAGATAACGATGTTTGCTGACCTGCACATTAAACACAAACTCTGAACATCAAAGCCATGCATCTTTCCATTTACAGAAAATAGGCAGAAGTAAAAGAATGGAAACTGATTACCCCAAATAACGGGTTAAAGAAGAAATAATGATCAAGCTTCAATCTCACTGTTGTGACTATGTAAGTTAAGACAGAGGAAACACAATTAACCACTGAATCCTTGTCAACCTCACCCACTTCAGAACTGCTAGGAGGATCTGAAGCAGTCACTGCTGGTTGCTGATACCTCCTGAAGCACTGTGTACAATGAGAAGCAACACCCTGCTCTTCTTTTATGCAAATGATCAATTCTGCACCACTTTGGCCACACACATGAAGAACTTCCCCTGGGTTTCTGCACCTCCTGAGACCTCACTCCTTCTGCACAGAGCTGGAACAGGAGCTCAAAAATGGGCATTTATTACATTATCAACAGGATTCGTAGCTATCAAATGAGATTACTTACTAGATAGACATAACCAATCACTGCCACTTCCCCTTAATACCCGGAGCTGGAATAATTCTGGACTAAAACAGTTAATTACCCGTAGTAGTTTTATCGACCGAGTTATAATCCTCAACCACAGAATCTTCAATCACATCACTGATCTTCTGCCATGGCTCCAGCTCCTCCTCCTCACATTCCATAAAAAGGTCCGTGTCCGCCATCCTGCAAAAGAAAAGGAGAAAACCCTTTATGGGATGACTGCATTTTGTCAGGCAGCAAAAGCTTTATTGTAATCATGATTCTAACAACAGAATTATTATTTTCAGAATGATGTTTGCCTAGCAAGCCTTTGGTTTTAAGTTAAAACTGGGGTGCTTTCGCCTCTCCTCCTGCACGACAAAACCAACTTACTGGCTTCAAAAGTAGAATCCACTGCCCCAAACAGCAGAACCTTAAAATAAGTGAGGAACTTGGGAAGAATAATCAAGGGTTTTATTCACTTCATGGTTCTGAGTACTCTGAGATTACTGCCAGTATACAAAAGAAACCAAATATCCAACCATAACCACTAAATCTGCTCCAACCCAACGCTGGGTGAGCACATCACTGCAGGACATCACAACCCCATCACTTCTTGCCATGCTCTCCATGCCTTCCCAATCTGTTGGTATTTCTGAGCCTCAATGTGCACCAAACAGGTTTTTTTGGATCTGCCTACAGCGACAGTCGGGTGTTTTCTGCTGGGGTTGCAGCCAAGCCAGACATCAGTGAAATATAGACCTGAATGCACTTCAAGTTAAGGGTTCCGTCAGACATTCCAACCATCCAGTCAGAATCACACCCAAAATTCACAGTTATCACAGCCTCCAGTGTCCTGCAAGTGGAAGGGAGAGATCTGTTCTCCACATCTGGGATGGAAACAAGGAACAAGGGCTCAAACTGTAGAGCAGAAATTCCACATCAGCCCCAAGAAAAAACTTCCAGCACAGCCCAGGGGCCACAGAACTCCAGCTCTGGATCCCTAAGAACAGACAGATGGGCAAAAAGAGGAGCACATAGCATGGAGTCAGAGCAATGCCCTCCTGGGGACACTGAAGGATCCGTTTTTGTATGAATTACACCCCTGTTAGCAGATATTTCTGCACTTCAACTAACAGCAAGGACACTCCGCTTGGGGAAACAATTCAAAACTGACAGCCATTAAGTCTTGTGAATACACAAAACACCCCTAAAAACAGCACAGAGGCCACCTTACCCCAAGGCACCCAAGTCTCTGCAGTGGGATCCCAATCTCTGTACAGTGGGATCAGCACTGCATGAGCACAACATTTCACACTGGGCATTTCACGTGCCTAAAAATGATTCACGAGCCAAAAAGAACAGCCAACAGATGAAAACATTCCGGTCTCTCATCAAATTAAGTTTATTCCATGACGAAAAATCAAAACTCACTGTCATAATCCCAAGGAGCAATTAACCACGTGCACTGCACAGAGCCCAGAAAGGCTCTCACTCTGCACATCACCCAGCACATGCACGCCTCAAAGGCATCTCCAGCACCTTCATTTACCCACTGCAGTTTTGTTGTTAGAAAGAGGAAAAGCATTAATGGCATTTGAAGGGTAGGAAGCAGAAATCGAGCTGTGAAAGGCTCTACAAGAAGTGAAATAAAACTCCCGATGCTCAGCCCTCATCCACTGCACCAAACACAAATTTCCTTCTGCTTAAGACAAAAGAAAAAAAAACCAACACAAAAGAGACAGAAATTATTTCTGGCTGACGAATGAGATGGGAACAGACTCCAGAAACGCAGCTCTGAAATGGGGGTTTGTGCACAAATCTGCTACAGGGGAGGCAAGAACCAAAGGAGCCACATCTCCCCTCTGCCCGTTAACTTTTGTTTAATTACAAAATCTTATCAAACCCGGCAGCATCTCCTAGGAGATGGACGCACTGATCTCCAACGCTGACCGACCCACAATACATATTTATGGTTTTCTGTATTCCTGCTCTGCAGAAACCTCCAGAATCAAAACCGTGGTGGGGAATCTCCTTGGACAAAGCTTCTCCTCCTGCAAAAGGCGACGCTGACAGCAGGAGCTGCTTCTCAGAGCCACGTTACAGAACGGCCACAGTGATGGGCAGCTACAGATAGGATGAATAACCCCATCTATTAATTAAAGCACGCACAAACGTCTCCGCAGGAAGGTTAGGGAGGCTTTGCGCAGATTGGGAGAAATATATTATTCAGCAGCTCATAATTATTCAGAAGATGCAAAGACAAAATGCTAAAGAGGCTGTAGTTACACGAATCTTCTGACACCAACTTGCATTATGCGCAGATATTTTATCTGTTCTATCAACCGAACCAAGAAAATGTCTCCTCTCTTCTATAATGCAACAGCTTTGTTTTTCAGAGCTTTGATCTCGAATATTTCTGGATGTAAGAAGCCTTTGCTCAATAAAATGATTAATCCCAATGATAAATGCTCCACGTTTAGCTCTTCAGCACACAGTTGGCAGATGTGCAGCTGAAAATACGGATGCCAAAAAAAAAAAAAAAAAAAGAGAGAGAGAGAAAAAATGACAAAGTGTGGAGAAATCGAGCCTTGCAGAAAGGTGTTTCCTCTCCCTTCGGTTGGAACCGCCACGTATCAGCCCTATACAAACACCAGCAGGACTGCAGGACATAAATCCTTTATTTCCATCAGCTGTGGTTTGTACTCATTGTTGCCATACAAGGGGGGAAAAGCCAACAGCCATCAAACTCCTGCACTGAGGCTGATTACAGCAGCTGATCAGAGCGATTCCCATTAGCAGGGGAAATCCAGCAATGCTGAATCGTTACAGATTTCCCCACCCTAAGAAAGGGAGAAATCCTCTCCAATGCCTCATTCAATAATAATAATAATAAAAATCCTAGCCAACGGTAATTTCAGCTGAAATTGGGAATCTGGTTTGAGATCCAATGATATCTCATTATCAGTTAAAGCTCTCACGTGGTTGGAAAGGTATCAGGCAGCCCTGATTGGGGGCTGCTCTTGGATTCCCAGCACCAAACAACTGGAAAGAGACAACAAACCTCACATCAGAGCATCGCTGCACAGCATCACCAGCTCCCGAGCTTCCGAAACACAGAAATAAACCAAACAAGCACTAAATCCACCTCAGCAAGGTGGCAAACAAAGGATCCAGCTTCCATCCCACAGGTTTTAGCTCAGGGGATTCACCTCCTCCCAGCAATGTGAGCAGGGAGGATCAGGTGGGAGTGTTTCCCATTACCTGTGGGTAGCAGGTTGTGCTCAGAGCCGCACAGCTGCATCCCATTGAAGTGATCTCCAAAAGATGTGTGTTGTGTATTTACAGCTTCATTCACAGCTTGATATTAATCTGACACAAACAAACAAGTTATGACATACATATGCTGGATACACACACACCACTTCTTTTAAAAAGGACTTCAAATTAATGACTCGTTCAGAATTCACATGATGGGACGCGCTGTTCTTGCTCTAAGAGCTTCACTTTCTAAGGCTTTTAATTAAAAAAAAAAGGGAAAAAAAGAAGTATAAATACATCCATACTTGTCAGGGCACCGCTGGTGGCCCAATTTCTGCCTACTGGGTGAAGTCATCTGCAGCACACACAGCCCTGAGGGCACGCTGGCAGGTCAGGAATAAGAGCATCCTGCCTTGCACAGGTGAGGAGGTGAAGCAGAAAGAGGAGTTTTGTTCAATGGGAACCACCAGGAGGGGTGGGCTGTTACCCAGAGGGGCAGGGGCTGCCACCACAACACCCTGCCTTCCCAGCACTGAGTTAGCATGGGGGTACCAACACAGCCACTCCACAGCTCTGCTCCGGTCAAAGGCAGAAGTTTTGGGAGCAGCAAAGGATGTGGGCACCTCTGGGTTGGTTGCACTGCCTTCATTGAGACAGGAACAAATTTGTGGTTCAAACACATCTGTACTCCATGCATCCCATGGAGTCATTAGCAGCATTAACCCTGAAGGATGCAGCCAGTCTTACAAAAAGTCCAACTTACAGCTCTGCGTGCAATTGTACAGAACCACCACAGGACAAACGTTGTACAACCACTGCAGAATGAACCATCACAGAATGAACCACTGGAGAGACAACCATCAAAGGACCACCAATAGGGCCCACCACTGCAGGACAGCTTGGGTTGGAAGGGAGCTTAAAGACCATTCAGTTCCAGCTCCTCCCTGTGCGTCTTATGTGAATTTACAACATAAGAGCACCTGAATGAGCAGTCAGAGCCAACCCAAATGGGAGCACACAGCACTCCCAAACAAGCACCCAACAGTCTCAGCCACCTTCAGCGCCAGCATTCACCGCTGACTGAGGAAATTATGGGATGGTTCACGGACCTGTCAGGACACCACGCATCTCCCAGCAGTGCAGTTCAGCACAGGTGACTCACAGAGCCCGACTCACAGAGCCCCACGCACAGAACTGCAGTGGTTGGGGACAGAGCTGGTCTGGGGAAGCCAGAAACATCATCCCTGCAATCCACCCCTACAGGGCATGGGACCTCTGCAACAGCTGCTTGGAGAAAAGGGCTGCAAGATGGGGACAACTGGGGCAAAGCACATCCCCGTGCACTGAGCTGCACTGAACGTGGCACAGCTGTGCTGTCACTGAGCTCTGTGCATCAGCTGCAGCCCAGGAAATCCCAGCTCAGCACCAAACTTTTCTCAACTCCTTGCCAGAGGTTTGTCAGGCTTTATGCCAGCCTAGATTTGCTAGAGAAGATTTAATTGCAGCGCGGTTCAAACGCTATCAACATATCAATCCTTTCCCCCAGTTCCCTAAGGAAAAATATCAGTGCAAAAAATACATATTAAGAATTAATTGACCCTTCAATTTTCCTCACCGCTTGCTATAAAACAACCTCCATGCTAAGAGTCCGGAGAAGAAAATCTAAGATGTAAAATCGAGAATCTGTTCCTAAGAGACCTACAGACGAGCTGGAGATGACTCAACACACTCCAAGGTAGAAATTAATACATAAACCAACTTCTGAGTGCCTGCTGCTCTCCATTTTGTCCAACCTTGGTGGACGTGCAGGCTCGACACAATTCCTGCCTCGTTACTTTTCTCACTCACTTTTAATAATGTGTACTCAATGGCAAGGAACGCACCTTCACTTTTTAAGAACCTGATGAGGTTACATTAAATGCAAATGAATCCTGTGATAAAGGTTCCTGCTGTCAAGACACGCCGCAATCCCTTCCCTGAAGAAAAGATAATGTTCTTCGGTGGCTCTTAATGAATAACTGGCACAGCTTCGAGCTGATACAATCTCAGTGATGAAAATGTTGGATGATGTTTTCATTAGTGTTTATTTGGCCATTCATCATGAGCAACACCTCTGAAAGAAGGGAGCAGGTGGAGGCTGGGCAGCCACATCCTTCACACCGAGGTGAATCTCCTCTGCTGGGTACCCAACTTCTTCCACAGCCATATTAAATTTGCTATGAATGCCTTCATTTAAAGTCCTCTGTATTTTATTAAAGGCTTTGATGTGTGCGATGCCTACTAATTAAAATCTATTATTACACTCAATTTTAATGATTGTTATCTACCTTAAAGTTGGAAGTGCTGAGTGATGAAAACAAACCGCTTTCTGCTATGCAGCTCTGCTGAACACTTGGGGCATATTTTGTGACCATGGGACAACCCAGAAGCTGCTTCTGGAGCCCACCAGCTGTCTGCAGCTCCATTCCTACAAATGGCACAGAGTGTGGGGCAGGTCTGTCAGAACGAAGGCAGTCGCTGGTCCTTTGACAGTCTCCAAGCAGCTGTGGGATCGTGCACACAAACAACACAGCCATATATATCCACAACACAGTGCCATCTGCGAGCAACACGTGCAGAACCCCCGGCCCAGACAGAGCTCAGCGCTGTGGGATGGCCCCACTTCTGCTATTAGGCACAATACAACTGCAGATGAAATTATACCCAGGCACGGCACTCAAGGATAAAACTTCCTATCTGCAGCAACCTCAAACCATCAGCACACAGCAAGGCTCAGCGCAGGGAAGATGCAGAATTCCTATTTCCTCACAAAGCCCTTCCTAAAAGAAGCAACAGATCCCCAATTGACCTGCGTGCTCTGCCCCATTTCCCTATGGGTGACAGCTGCAACCACAGCCAAGCTGATAAAACCAACACCATGCATGTTGTTGTGCGGCGTGAGTTTTGTGCAGGGCAGTGCAACGCTGCACACGTTTTGTGTCAACAGCATGGAGTGGGGAAAAAGAAGCAGAACTGGAGTGTCCCACTGCAGCCACCGGGCTTCTCTGGGACTGAAAGGCAGCAGCACAGCGTGGCGTTGGGTACAACAGCGCGAGCAGCTCAACAGCAAACACCTGGATTCAGCAGGAGAAGCGTGGGACCACACAGACATGGAATGGGTTGGGTTGGAGGGGAGCCCTTAGGCAGTAGCTCAGGTTGGAAGGGATCTCATAACAAATGGGTTGGAAGGGATCGCCGAGCGGTTGGACTGGGTTGGAAGAGCTCGAGTTGAGTTGTGCTGGAAGTGATCACTTTGTGACCGGGCTGGAAGGGATCCCTCAACAAACAGCTCAAGTCAAGAAGATTCCCATAGCGAATGGATTGGGTTGCAAGGGATTGCTTAACGAATGGGAACTTCCAGACCCCTCAGCGAATGGCGTGGGCTGAAAAGCTCGGCCTGGCAGCTGCGTTGGGCTGGAAGGATCCCTCCTGCAGCCCCGCAGCTCCGAGCTCGGTCACCACGGGCACAGCGCAGGGGCCGCCCGGTGTCACGGACACAAAGCGGCGCTCAGCACCGCCCTGCGCCCGGAGGGCTCCGCGGGGACGGCGCAGACCGGAGGGCCGCGACCCCCATCGACACCACAGAGCGCCGGGGGGCGGGGAGGGGCCTAAGGCCGCAGCGGGGCTCAGGGGGGACGCGGGGCCTTCGGGAGGGGCCTCACGGCACGG